TACAAGTTTCATCACAGAATCAATCCATCACATCCATATTAACTCTAAAACCATCTATGACTTCACAGCTCGTATTTTTCAGGATGAAAATGTGCACACACATTATTACTACGCGACAGTTCTTCACTCTTATTTAAAAAAAGGAGAGGAGGCCGAATGGGTTTGCTTTAACCCAGGTTTATTATTGTGCAAAGCTGCTCACGAAAGCCAGAAGTACAACTTAACAGAGCAGAGTCTACCGCTGGGCAAACAAACAGCAGAAAATATGTACACAGTTCAATTGCTTACCTGGATTAAAATACACCAGCGTGAAAAAGAATCCCTCCAACTCCAAGGAAAGCCTTGCCCATTCACTCCTGACTCGTGACCTGTGCCCTGTTCTGAGCCAGCCATCCGGGAGCGATGGGAAGGGACCCTCAGCATCACCAGTGACCGCAGCTTCTCATGCTCCTGTTATGCTGCTGGCAGCCCTTCTCCGGCTGCAGCAGCCCATCTGCCTGCTGAGCAGCACCAAGCACCACTTGCCTTATTTCGGGACCTGCCAGCTTTGCAGACGCTGTCACAGGAACGGCTGCAGCTTCAGCCAACATCCTATTCCTGGAGCAGCATCACCAGCTCCAAGTTCGTCACCTCTCTCGTTCTGAGCAGGATCCCCAGTGCATCCTCGTGGTCCACAAACCTTCTGCTCAGTTTTTGTGAATGCAACAATGGAGAAACAGCTCCAGGAAGCGAGGGAGGCCACTGATGGCTCCTGCAGCACCGGGGCACGGGCTCCAGTGTCTCCCCAGCTCCCTGGCACTGCCAGCAGCCTCCTCAGCACCTCACACGCCAAGAAAGCGCCGGCACTGAGCAGCTCCAGGATGGAGTGGGACCACCACTGGGATCCCAGGAGATGCTAGCTAGCGCTGTCCAAGCTAACAACATTTCACAACCCCAGGGATTGCCACACAGCACTTACCAATGGGGCCAGGGGTTTCTTTGCTGCAAGCTGGGAGCTCACCAAAATCCATATGGAGACCTCTGAGCTCCGGCTGCATCGCCTTGGTCCTGAGCCAGAAGAAAAGCAGAAGAGCTTGAGGATCTGCAGCCCAGACCCAGACAAAGAAGCTCTTAAAGACACAAAGTTAATTATAGCACAGACACTTACCCAGGAGCATGCTGCTTGCGATGCCGGAAAACGGGATCCTGCCGTCGCCGGTCAGCGCCGGGGACAAAGGGCAGCTGCCGCCCGCCTGGCCCACGCTGCCTGCCAGGACTGCCTGCAGGCAGCACAGGCAGCTGGTGCACCAGCAGGCCAATCGCTCGGATAATGCAACCCCCTGCACTAGTTTCTTCTTTTTCTTTTTATGTTTTAAGAAAGCATCACGATTAGCAGGTAACAGGGAAGCCAACGGCACAGCAGAGCAGACGGGGCACAGCAAGTGAAAGTCAGAAATCACAGATACAGGCACGGGGAGGGAGGTAAATGTCTGAAACCGCTCAGTTCCCTGGCAGGGTGTTACATTATCAGCGATGCAGAAGTTCCAGCAAGTTTTGTCCTGTCCACAGAGCAAGTTTTGCCAACATTGCTGCATCGAGAGCAGATGAAACCCTTCCCTCTTCCCTGCCCCAGAGAAATTCAGCGGAATTCCTAATTGGTAGCAACAGACCAACCAATGTTTTAAAGGTTTTAAAAGCATTTATCGAATGTTTGGGATAAAAGAGCCACGTATCTCACACGTCAATGTGCAAAGTAATTGCTGAACCCTGCATTCCCTTGAGCAAAGGGAAAATGACACAGCGCTGGAAGGAAGCCCGTTGTACACCAGTGTGTAAGGAAAGAGATGGCTTTCTGCCCAGCCAGAGCTCAATTTGGGTTTAGATTAATGGAGAAGAGCAAAATCGCTGAATTTAATCAATTAATAAAATCAAGAGATAGACCACAACTAGCAAGTTGTAAGTGTAGGTCTGTAAGGAAGAGCTTAAGCCCGTAAAATCAGAGCGAGGGAAAATAGCCTGGCCAAGAGGAAGGAAGCCCCCGTGTGAGGAAGCCCCCCGGCCAGGCGGCACTTCATGGCCTTCTGCCCTGCAGCCAACAGCGAAGGCAGCCCCGTGAGCTGAAAAAGCAAGATCAGACCCTGAAATCCTTCTCACCACTTGAACCCAGGATGGTGGAAGCGTTTTGCCCACACCTTGCTGGCAGGAGGGGGAAAAAAAAGGGCTCTTAACCAAAGCTGTGGGACATCCCATGCTGGATGCTGCTGGGGGCACAGAGAAACCAGATTAGGAGATGCTGAACTCCCCACCCACCCTGCTCCATCCCGCATGGCTACCGTCAAATCTTGACCACGTATTTCCCAGCCTTAAAACCCGAGCTCAGGGTCGCAAAGCGCCACAACCCAGCACATCCCGCAGGAAATCTCTCCCCCCGCCTTTGCTTTTGGACACATGAGTGAAGGCAGCTGTCGGAGATGTCTGCCATACCCCTGCTAACAGCAGTAATTAATACCTCACACACGCAGCAACAGGCTCCCTGCACGGCCACATGGATAAGCAGCAGCTCCTCTCCCTCTCTCAAGCGTAAAAGGGAGATATACATTGAAAAAATCAAGGGAAATTGGTGGGGAACCAGCACCCACATCCTAAGGCCGGGGTTTGGAAATGCAGCCAAGGCAGAGATGAAAGGACACCACAGCTCAGAGTAGCAAAGTTTCTTCTTTGTCCCCAAAACGCTTTGTAATCAGAGTCCTCATTATCAGAAAAATAAATACTTTGCCGCTGTAGTTCACAAGCGATAACGCAAGGATTACCTCTCCCACGCAGCCTTCCTTCTGCATGTACTTCCGGATGATGGACCAGATCTGGCACTTGCTCAGCAGCCTCCCGCCCGTGGCGACTTCGAAGCTCTCGTAGGTCCCGTACTTCTCCAGGACGGCACGAATGATCCTGATCGCCTGTCGCAGGCAGAAACCACGCATCAGTGCAAACGCCTTCCCCGCTTATCAACGCATCCCAAAACCCCACCTGCAAGAAAACCCAGCGGAGAGACACCCTGAGAAAGGCCTGTAAAGCAAGACATGGGTTTGCAGTATCCAAAAAACCAAGGAGACAGAGACAGCTAGAGGTGCGCACCGGGACAGACGGACATACCATCACCATGACCCACAGTCCATCTGCTTTTTATCACTCCTGCAAGCATCTGGGAATAGGGAAAAGGAGAAGCCAAATGGCATCTGCTTCTGGAGTTTAAAGCCCTGATTATTTCCACCTTTTCTGGTTTTTGGTACTCCTTTCCAACGCTAGTGTTGCACAAATCCTATCCACTTGCTTCGTGCTCCGAGAGTTCCTTGGGGCAGCGCTGGGCAGGAAAGCTGGGCATCACCAGCACTGCCCTTCGCCGCGATGCTACTTCCTCCTCCTTGGCCAGGGTCTCGGCACAAGCAGCCTGCTGCACGCCAACAGCCTTCTAATAAAAGCAGCACGTGCTGTTTTACTAGCATTAACATTTATGGAGCATCTACAAAATACAGGCGTTAGCATGTTTCCTTCCCCAAAAGTCAGTTTGCATCATAGATGTTTTCAAGCCATGACTTTCTCCAGCCTATTAATACACACCCGGAACCAGACGGCGACAGCTTTGCACCAGTTCTGGAGTTTTTCCACCCGTTTCATGGCATCTGTAAAGCTGGCTGAGCTGCCACCGAGCTTCCCAGCCCAGGACCAAGCTCCTGAACAATGCGTTTTACCTGAACAAACCGTTTTGCTCTTGCTCCGAGCAGCAGCTGGAGCCCTGCAAAGGAGGTCCCATACCCTCCCTCATCCCTAAGGTGCCGCAGGAGCGGGAGATGGGTGCTCACCACCAGCACCAGCGCTCAGATCACCCCACCCAACACCCCACAGAGGGGCTGCGTGGTCTGTCTGGTCACCAGCCTCCCCTACCCCAGCAGAAGGTCACGATTTTTCCATCTCCTAATAGTTTTCTCCACACAGCTGGATTTTATTCTCCTGTCACTTACTGTGTCTTTCCAGAAGTTGTGTGGTTTGGGGTTTTTTTTGTGTTGTTGGGGGTTTTTGGGGGTGGGTGTTTGTTTTGTTCACTAAACGATCAAGATTGGTTTTGCAGCACCACAAGGTCCCTCGTGCTGACTGTGGCAGAAAAAGGACCATTTCTCCCTATCACCTCCTCTCAGCCACTCCCAGGGGACCTAAAGCACTGAGCCAAAACAAACCCAGCACAGCCGGTGCCCAGGAGTGGGATGACCAAAGAGCCCACTCCCCACTGACCTCCAGCACATGTCCCGGCAAGCAAAATCCCTAAAATACCAAGTTTAGTTTTCTGAGAGACTGCTGAGCATCCTCAGGCAGCCCAAAACCATGCACCCACCACACACAGCGGGATTACAAATCCTCAAGCCCCAGCTCTGTGATGGTGCTGCTGGCGACAGACCAGGGACGTGATCTCCAGGGTGATGAGCCTCCACGGGGCTAGAAGAATCCTTTTTGTTTACTTAAATTTTCTATTAAAAAAATAAAATGAAATAACCCCCCCAAAACACGTGCACAGCAGCTGGAGGGAGCAGAGGCTGGAAGCAGGGAGCTGGTGTTGGTTTGCCTGCTCTTGTCTAAGGATGCTGGCTTAGCAAAATGCCTCGTTTAACTAAACTCCATGATTAATGCAGGTTTTTAACATAAAAGCAGATTACAGCTAATAGTTAGCTGGCAAGGAAAAAAGCCTCCCAAAATACAAGAGACTGGAAGGAGGTTAGTGCAGGGCACGAGCAAAGAACAGTGACACAAATACTGTCACATCACCCCGTCACCAGAGAGCTTGTAAAAACATTGGTAGAAACACCCAGCGCTTGCAAAGGGCTTTAGGATCCAGGATGAGACCATTCACACTGGATGGGAACACGATGTCATTCATTCACAGCAACGCGCAGGGAAAAAGAACCTCAATTGTTCCAACTTTTTTTACTATATTGCAAGTCAACTGTACCAAAAGAGAAAGCAAGGGGGAAAACAGCTCTCAACAACTTATTTTACCACATTACTTGGAGAATGAAATGCACTTAAACGGGGGAAGAAAACACGGAGGAGCCCCGCGAGGGCTTTGCTGGAGTCAGACCGTCTGCCCTGCAGCATCGCTGGCACCAGTTTATCTGGGGCAGAGGTAGGGCAGGCACTGGAGCAGGCAAACTGTTTAGGAAGCTGTTTACGGAAAGAGCCTGGATCACCTGGATAATAATTCAGGCAGTAATGCAAGAATAAGTAAACATTCAAAAAACCCCCCAAAAATAAATGGGCGAGGACGTTGGTACCCACGGCAGAGAGCAAGTCGGGAACATTTCAGTAGCGTACGAGCGATGGAAGCAGTTAAGCAAAATAATATCAAGTGCCTAAGCGGAGTCTGCATCAATGTCATTGCTGTCAACGACGTCTGCTGGTGCGGTGGGGACACAGCCACGCAGGAACCACCTTCAGGCCTTCCAGAAAACAAGCCAGGCTTAACCCACCAGCCCATCCAGGCTCAGGACCGCTCCCCATGGGGCCACCCACGTGCTCCAGCTCCTTGCCTGCTACTTCTGCGGGCGCAAACTGAGATGGCAAAGGGTCCCTGATGGAGCACCACCGAGGATCCCTAAGAACTAGTTTGATGCTGGTGGCCTCACCCAGCACCGGCGTGCCCATTGCCCAGCACCGCCGTGCCCATCGTGTGCCCACTGCCCAGCACTGCCATGCCCATCGCTCAGCACTGGCGTGCCCATCGCCCAGCATCCGGCACCGGCGGCGCCCATCGCTCGGCACCGCCGTGCCCATCACTCATCACTGCCGTGCCCATCACTCATCACCCCCCCATGCCCATCGCCCAGCACCGGCGTGC